CCACCTATACCAGAAGGAGCAATCCCGCACTTGAAACCATTATATGTTAACGCTCACATCTGTGGTAAGCCGATTAACAAGGTTTTCATTGATAATGGAGTTGTCTTCAATGTTATGCCTCTAAAAACCTTGAAGAAGTTGAGGAAAGGAATTGGTGATCTGTCCCCAATTGATATCGAGATGACAAGCTTCACAAGACAACCGACGAAACCAGAGGGAATAATGGTGGCCCCTATTGAGGTGGGACCGAAGGTTATTTCGACTGTGTTCTTTGTGGCGGATGCCAACACCACTTACTCGGTCTTGTTGGGGCGAGATTGGATTCATGCTTCCAAATGCATGCCTTCTTCTCTCCATCAGCAGATCATGTTCTGGGAAGGAGATCAAGTGTTCAGAATGGACGCCAGCACTAATCCGTTCGGTTCTACAGAAGTTGTGGAAGAGTCCGTACTTTATTCTAAGTATGTGCCTCCGATCTCACAAATAGTTGTGCTAGATGAGTATCCCTGGAAGAGCTGTAGGCTCACTGCGCAGGGGTATGTGTTTCATAATAAATATTTTCTCTCTTGTGGCTTTGTTGTTAGCCAAAAACGTTAAATTTATTAAACTTTAATTATGGAAGAGATAGGTGAATGCGACTTGTTGATTAGGCAGTTCTATTTAAACCAATTAATGGTTAGACTAAATGGCGAGGAAGGTTCCAGCAATAATGTTGATGAAGAAGAAGGCTTTCGGTGGCCTGACCTGCTGGAGAAAATAGAGCCTTCTTTGTCAACTCAGGATCTGCTCATTGAATACAATGTAGGAACTGAACAAATACCCAAGATGCTCAGGGTTACTGGTTCGTTGTCTAAAAACCAGCAAGAGCAAATAGTAACGGTAATTCGGGACTATATGGAGTGTTTGGCATGGGATTATTCCGAAATACCTGGTTTGGCATACGATTTAATAGAACATAGGTTACCTATTAAGAAGGGGTTCAAGCCGTATAATCAGCCTCCAAGAAAGGTTAGTCCAGAACTGCTTCCACAGATCAAAGAAGAAATTGAGAAATTATTGAAAGTAGGGTTCATTCGACCCTGTCGGTATGCAGAATGGTTAGCCAACATTGTCTCGGTAACCAAGAAGAACGGAAAAATTCGGATCTGCATCGACTTCAGAGATCTTAATCTAGCTACTCTTAAAGATGAATATGTAATGCCCATAGCTGATATGTTGATCGATTCGGCAGCAGGACACCAAGTTTTAAGCCTGATGGACGGTTATGCGGGGTATAATCAGATCTCATTGGCAGAAGAGGATATACCAAAAACCGCGTTCAGGTGCCTAGGAGCCTTGGGGATCTATGAATGGACGGTTATGCCGTTCGTTTTAAAGAATGCTGGAGCAACCTATCAACGGGCAATGAATACTATCTTTCATGATTTGATTGGGCAGTCCATGGAGGTATATATTGATGATGTTATCATTAAGTCTACTGACTTTGATACACATCTGGTCGACCTAAAAAATGCTTTCCTACGGATGAAGCAGTACAACTTGAAGATGAACCCAACAAAATGCCCTTTGGAGTTTCGACAGGAAATTTCCTGGGTTTTTTAGTGCATGAAAAGTGGATAGAGGTTGATGCAAACAAAACTAAGGTTGTTCTGACAATGCGACCCCCTCGGTCGGTCAAAGAAGTGCAAAGTTTGTTGGGTAACGTAAATTACCTGAGGAGGTTCATATTAAATGTTGCAGGAAAGTTAAAACCCATCACAAGGTTGCTAAAAAATAAAGCAACTGATTTCTCTTGGTGTCCGGAGCAGCATGAGGCATTAGAAGAGATTAAGAGGAGACCGACCTCTTAGACTGTATGTGGCAAACAGTTTCGATGTGGTGAGTAGTCTGTTGGCGCAAGAATGAGAAGATGGTAAAGAAAGGGCTATTTACTACTTAAGCAAAACTTTGGCAAGCCCAGAGTTGAATTATACCATGCTTGAAAAAATGTGTTATTCTCTGGTCTTCGCATGTACTCGATTAGAGCACTATATTTTGCCAAGAGAAACCGAGGTGGTTTCCAAAGTGGATTTGATCAGATTAATTCTGCATAGACCAACCATGCAGGGAAGGTCAATGAAATGGGCAATAAGATTGGCTCCCTTTGCGCTGCAACATCGACCTATCAAGGCAATAGAAGGGCAGGTAGTGGCTGACTTATTGGCTGAATTTACAAACAGTGAACCAGTAGAAAACAAAATGGTACCATATATAGGTACCGGTCCCTGGAAAATGTTTTTTGATGGTTCTCGTTCAAAAGGGAGATCAGGTGCAGGAGTTATATTAGAAAGACCCAGAGCCCGGAAGATCAGCCTGCAACTTCAAATGGAGGAGATGACTCATAACTCTGCAGAATATGAAGCACTGATTTTGGGTCTGAAGGCACTCGTGGCTAAAGGAGCACATGCGGTTATGATTTGTGGAGATTCTCAATTGGTCATCAATCAAGTGTTAAGACGGTACACTTGTAATTATCCTCATTTATGTTGATATCGAGATTTGGTATATCATATGTTATATAGAATTGCGGAGGTGGTTATTGAGCATGTACCGAGAACAAAGAATCGAAAAGCATATAATTGGCTCAGAATGCGTGTCAAAAAATAATTATTGGCAATATTGATATGAGTACTGATTGGAGAAAAGAAATTATGGTCTATCTGGAATCACCAAATTTTGCAACTCCTGTGGGTATTCGATTGAAAGCATTACGCTTTCAACTTATTGAAGGGGTTCTGTATAAGAGAACCTTTGAAGGAGTATTATTAAGGTGTTTGGGACCAGAAGAATCCATTAAAGTGATGGAAGAAGTTCATGGTGGAATTTGTGGAGCACACCGAGCGGAATTGAACACGCGATGGGCTATTCATCGTTTGGGTTTTTATTGGCCAAAAAATATTTGATGATTGTATCAAATTTGCTAAAGGGTGTCAGGAGTGCCAGAGACATGGCCCGTTAAGCCATCTGCCAGCAGTGGAACTCCAGACGATGATTAAACCGTGGCCATTCAAAGCCTGGGCGTTGGATGTAATAGGGAAAATTCATCCGGCTTCATCGAAGCAACATTCGTTCATCTTAGTAGCTACTGACTATTTCACCAAATGGGTAGAGGCAGTCTCTTTGAGGAATGCGACACATAAAGAAGTAATCGAGTTTGTGCTCAATCACATTATTTATCGGTTTGGAATCCCTCACACGCTTACGACCGATCAGGGTTTGATGTTTATCGGGGAGAAGTTTATCGAGTTTTTGGCCGAGTTCAACATCAAAGTGCATCATTCTTCGCCTTACTACCCGCAGGCTAATGGATTAGCCGAAGCGGCAAATAAAATCATCATCGGCATCATCCGGAGAATGGTGGAGGGAAATCCGAGGAAATGGCATACATTACTGCCTCAAGCATTGTGGGCCCACCGAAATAGTAGGAATACTTTTACTGGATTTTCTCCCTACCAATTAACGTTCGGGCAAGATGTTGTACTTCCTGCCGAATTTGTTATATCTTCACCCAAAGTAATTAATACAACGGTGAATAATGATGAAGCGTATCTACAAGGGATGTAGCAACAATTGAAGGAAGTAGACACCGATCGATTGAATGCTCTGGATCGAGTGGTTAGGCAGAATGAGATTAGAGCTAAGTACTATGGAAAAAAAATATCTCCTAAAGTTCTTGCAGAAGGAGATTTGGTGGGGAAAACAATTCTGCCTACATATAAGAAAGTGGATCAGTTAGGCAAATGGTCTCCTAATTGGGAAGGTCCTTTCATCATTCACAAAGTAATTGGAAATGGAGTTTTTATTATTGTGAATCAGGAAGGAAAATTGGTACATGAGAATATTAACACTGAGTATATGAAAAGGTATGTTCCTGCCTTTTCAGAACATCATCATTAATTCTTATTACAAGAGACCTAAGAACCCTTTAAGGGTTCGAACCCACAGGGAGGGGTTTTATTCATCATCCGAAAGGTTGACACAAACGTGATCATCTTCTGGTTGAAAAACTTCATCCCAATTCGTAGAAACCATCTCAGGTTCTTCGTCGAGAAGATCTTCTAAATCCGGACGATAGCGATCCCATTGATCTTGCATTTCTTGAAGGTCTTGTTCGGTGCAAACTTTCATATCTTGTAAAGAATGACATTCTCGCTCAGCAAGTACACGCAGCCTGGAAAGTGTTGATCTTTGTTGGCAGAAGATGTTGTTCCAGCTAAGGTCAGGAAGAATGGCCATAACATGATGGTTTATCATATCCATATGATGATCCAGGTCAGATATGCGGGTAAGAATATCAGTGAGGGGCTCGTAGCTGGTAGACACACGTTCCATCAGGCGAATCGTACGATGTATAATCTTCCTACCTTTGCCAGAGAACTTAAATTTAAAGTCAAGTTGTTTCAGTACCTGTATCAGGTCCTCGGCATGATGGCCCATGGGGTGTTTTCCCACAAGGAATAGTTGCAAAGAACCTTCCCAATTGGTGGCAGGAACAAGAATGCGAGGAGAAACCATTTGAGTGTAAGTGCAAGATTGTGAGTATTGGTGATGTTCGTAGTGGAGATATATGAATTATATATATACATACTGTGGTGTTCAAGATTTCTGACTTAGTAAAAGTTCAAAAATCACGGATCTATGTTTTGGAAAATAGATTACAAGACTAAGTCTCCAAGCTATATACAAGGTTATGGGGAAAGGAGGGCCCGAAGGGCGGCTCAGAGCTCGGCCCACTTCAGCTCCGACCGGGTTGCCCGACGATGCTGATAGGCCTCCTGGTGTCCTCTAATGAGCCTCAATCGTATGCTCGATTGGAGTTGATCGTAGAGACTCGTTTGTGTTTGGCAATGTTCCTCCACCAGGCGACCTCCTTCCTGGATGTTGTCATCTAAGGACTCCAACTGTTGTTGAAGGCGTCTGAGCTCTTCCATTTTTTGGAAGATCTCAGCCGCCAGCGTTTGTCACACTTGTTGGAGTTCATCCAGCGTAGCCTTGGCAAGATCAAGGTCTTCATTGACCTTTTTCAAAGATACTTCAAGGCCAGCCGGATCAGCGGTTGGTTGAGATGACGTGGCTTTGGATGACGGAGGTCGGATCAGAGGCAGTTTGTCCTGGAGCTCGGTGATCTTTTCCATCATCCGATCGAGCATGAGAGTAGCTTCCGACTCCATTCGATGTTGTATCAACAAGTCTATCGCGACCTGAACTAGAGACTCAAGGTCTGCTGGACTCAGGTCAGCGAAAGACAGGTCAGCACAGCGTGCTATGATAGGTCGGGCGGGAGTCGGGAGATTTATTCGGGCCAGCACACTCATCTCTTGGGCAGCCTGAAACAAAACGTGTTTAAATATGAAGCAACAGAAATGAACTTATGGAAAATGATACAAGGTTGAAATCTACCTGATTGAAAACGGCGGTTGCCTCGGAAGGAGCCATGATCCGAAACGCCATAGGAGTACCTTGGCGATAGTAGGGCCAATGACCGACTCGTCTGCTGGTTACAGACAATGGGCAGCAATCTGCTCCATAACCTGAAAGGAAATGTTAGTTAAGGAAAAGAAGCAAAGGAATCAGAAGGTAAATGTGAAAAATACTAACCGAGCCCCTTGGGATAAAATTTACTGAAACTTCGCCCGACTTCGAGGAAGAGATTTCCTTGATGTCGTGAGGCGGTGGGATCGGTTGGAGTGGTTGGGGCGCTGCGGGAGGTCCCTCGTCCACGGGCTGGGCGGCTGGCTGCAAAGGCAACGGAGCGACTTGGTCGGGCAATGCGGCAATTTGGTCGGGCACCGCCGCGACCACTTCAGGTTCCTAGTTGAAAGTAATGATACACGAGTTAGAGATTTATAAAATGAATCATGTGGAAATATTTTGGCAGTTACCTGTGGTGGTGGGGGAACAGGTGAAGACAAAACTGGAGGAGAAGTTTGCCTCCCCGCCGGTTCCTCCGGCCAGCGGATCATCGGCAGTTCCCCCTCTGCAGCAAGGGGGGTCGGTTGAGGAGCAACCGACGAATGACTCGGGTTGTCCTATAGAAAGGAGAATTGAAGTTAGTAAGAAAGTGAAATAAGTATTTCCTTAGAGGTATTATTAAATATCTTACCTCAACTGACAGAGGGGTCGGCAATGTAGTGGTCGGTCGCCCTGCGGTCGAAGAGTCTCCCGATGGACCAGCCGGTTGAGTAGTTGGTGGTTCGATGAGGATGTCGGCTGGAGCAGCAGTCGGGTGACTTGCAGTCGGGGTTGCGGTTGGCTGAGGAAAAGTCAGAGTAATGGTCGGTTGGGCTGCGGTCTGCTGAGGGTCGGTCGGCTGGGCTGCGGTCGGCTGAGGGTCGGTCGGCTGGGCTACGGTCAGTTGAGAGATAGTCGGAGCAGTGGTCAGTGGCAGCGAAGGGGTCTCTGAATAAGAAATGTTAAAGTGAAAAAAGGCATACATTGGGAAAAAGAAACACTTGAAAGGGAAAGAACTTACCCAATTGCTCTCTCAAGTATTTTGGCAATCCGCTTGTGTCCACTGGCAGAGACGCCAAGTGCTCCTCTATTGTTTGTCTGTCGATGGCGGGGGCGCCCTTCTGTTTCTTCTTTTTTGCTACAGATCCGCCTTCGGCAGGCGTCGGCCTCTTTCTTCTAGGAGCAGAGGCTAGTCGGGGAGAACCCAACGCCAATGCTGAGGGCGGAATGAGTTTTCCCACCAACTGGTCGGTCGGGGGAGCAATAAGAGACCAAGTGGTTGACCACCAGGTCGGGAAGGCCATAGCCTCTGAAGGTTTAAGGCGGAAAGGTAAGTAAGAATTGAAGGTAATGTAGTCGGTGAGTTGGGAAAGGTAAGGTGGTATGAGCTCGGGGATCACCAACCCTTCTAGGCTTTGATGTATAAGGTGAGGTCGGGCTAGTGGTCCCGGTAGGCCCTAACAGCAACCAAACTGTCGGCCAGGAACTGGGGTTGATAGTTAAAAGTATAAAAGGATCTATAATTTTTCTTGTCCGACCTCTTACTTGAAAATAGAGATCGGGGTTTCAGAGCAGAATCCCATGAGAAGGGATAGGTCGGATGAGGAAGAGGATCCGGATAAGAGCGGGGGTACGGAGTGTCGGGATAAAGCCAAAAAAGTTCGGTAGTATACTATACAAGGGTTTTGTAGGCATAATAACGAGAGTTACTACGGTCCTCAGTAAAAATCTGGGTAATGACGGGGTCGGATGGATGGAGGTTAGAGGAGCTAGGGGTTAGTTTGGCTAAGGCAAGACCTATTGACCTTTGAGGGTTCGGGCTAATAGGTAGTTGGCCAAAGAAAGCATTCGGAAAATATAGGCGCAGCCACAGCTCCAGGAACCAAAATGGTCCCGAAGCAACTGTGTCCGCCTTTTTGGTATCGGTTAGGCGGGTGCTCACTCGGGATAAGCCCTCAAAAAGGTTAGCTAAAAATAAAGTTCCTAAAGAGAAAAATTGGCCACTAGCCAGATGAATGGCCAGATCGACCTGGGAGGACAGAACGAGCTTGGAAGGAGAAAGAATGATATATCTGTGAAGAAAGAAGAAACTTAACTAAATATTCAACTTTGAGGTTATATGGAAAAACGTAAGGAAAAGAAAGTGTACCTGCATAGCCAAAAAAAGGAAAGTTGTGTGTTCCAATTCGGAAACCGAGGTGCCTTCCTCGCCCAAAAACTTAGTAACAAAGCTGGTCCAGCTTCTCTCTATTTCGGCAAGTTTGGCGAGGGCCCAACCAGCATGGTCGGGCGAAGGTTCCTGACCTTCAAAAGAGACCAGAACGGGATCGTCGCCCACTATGGGTAAATGGGCGATGATAGCCATGTCCATAAGGATCGGGCCAATGGGGCCAGAGGGGAGAAAGAAAACTCCCATTGTGAATGCCAAAAGGCTGCCATTGCCAACAGGGCCTTGTCATGAAGTTGGAGAGGTTGAGTTGAAAGAAGGATGGCCTTGTCGATGCCCTGCCTCCTCCACTGCGCTTTAAAGTGAGGGAGAAGCCTCGCATGCCATTTGCGGTAGGCATCTTTGGGGTCAGTGAGGTGAGTCCTGATACTGTCCAGGAGTCTCTCCGGCTTGAAAGCAGCATCATTTATGGCCATCAGAGAGACTCGGGAAATGACGGATTTCATTCGATCGGTGTATTCGGCAGTGGTGCGATAGGGGCGAATGGTTGGGGTGAGGACCCTTGAAGCCACAAAAGGCACCGATGGGTCGGTCCCCTCGTAAGGTAAAGCATGAACATATTGGTTGGCCATTTTGCGAAAGATGAGCAGAAAATGAAAGAGAAGAGATTTTGGAGGATGTTTGCTGGAGAGAAAATGAAGGATTTCAAGATTCTGAATGCGTGAATATGGAAGGGTGAGAGAAGGGTTTTACATAAACCCCACGATATGACATAAAACAGTGTAATGATAGCACTGTAACATGTTACAAACCCCTAAACGTCACGTCTCACACAGTCCGAGAAGCGGCACTTAGGAGTCGAGCGGGAGGAGGCAAGTTGTTGAGTAAGAAAATCCAATGTGTAGGATTTTCGAGAATGGGCTTATAAATTGGACTATGAATTGGTGTATAGTTCGATGGGCCTGTCAATGGCATTAGGGTCTGGAAATAGGCTTGGAGATAGGCCCAATGGTCAAGGGGTCGGACAAGGACAGGTCGGACAAAGGAAAATGAGACAGTAAATGTTTGGGTCGATTGGTGTGGAGGTCGGACAAAGGGAAGTCGGGCAAAGAAGGACAAGGCGGTCGACACGGAAGTCGGACAAATGGGTTTAAAATGAGCTGATGTCCAGGTCGGATGAATAGCAGTTCTAGAGCAGTTGGAAGAAGTTACAATTGGTGAGCGGATACAGAGGCACGACCTGATAACAATATTGGGGCGGTTGACATGGGTTTTAAATAGGTCTTTTCACGACCTGAGAAGGGATCTTCAATCGACATCAAATTCAGTGAATTTCTTTTGGGGATCATCCTTTTACTTTTACGGTCTGTAGTATTTCTTTTCAACTTTTCTTATGTATCGTACGGTGTCTAGGGATTCTTAATCTCAGGCATTTATTTAATCAAATTCGAAGATAATTTCTATTTTTGGATTTTACTTTTTATTATTGAAAAATTGCATCAACAGTTTGTTTTATTGTTTTGAAAGCATTTGTCTTTTCTCTCCTTGTTTAAGTCGAGCTATTTGTTTGATGTTGACTCTTCTTTTGTTCTAAAGTGGGGATTCACAAGTTCTGAGAATTTTCTATGACAAGGCACAAGCAGTGGAATCAGTCTGGAGATCATCTAGGGTACTATAAGAGTCTTTCGCAAATGAAGTTGCGGAACTTAACAAGTATAGCAACAACGAGAACACTTAAAAAGTAACCATTCCAAAGCATCGATTACGTACTTAATTAAGTATTAGAACACAATTACAATTATGAAGGTAACCGTGTTTTTGCAAGACTCTTTTGCTTTAATGCCTACTATATTCACTGCAATAAATTCCAGTTGCCTATTTGGACAGCTTTACATGTTTCCATACTTGGTATAGCGTATTGAATAGTTTTATGGTTATAGGCACTAAGATATGTGAATATTTTCAGGACTAGCAAGAGATAGGTGCAGGATAAATATTGCATCAATGTTGTTTGGAAGTATAAAAGCAACTTGTGAGTGTGTGGCAACTTTACACCAGAAAGAGATAGATGGAGAATCTGTTTAGGCACACCAGCTTAGTGAAGAAGTAATGTAATATCTGGTTCACCTAATCAAACATTGGTCACATATATATTTCATTTCATGGCCATAAAACCAGCATAATTACTACCTTAGCGGCGCATGCCAGCTCGTGGCATTGTCAACAATGGTTCTTAGATTATATTATGGATAAATACCCTTTTTTAAGAAACATGCATTTCTCTGAGTTCACACTATTTTTTGGTGAAGATTTCCAATCGACGATAGAGCACGTTAGCCGTTTTATTGCAGAGTCCTGTGGTGAGTTTAGAAACAATGATTGGTATAAATTGCAATTAGTTTTGTACTTGATAGGTCCCGCATTTAGTTGGTATGCCGCGCTACATCTCAATTTGATCTATTTATGGGCCGAGTTAGAAAGGGTTTCCCACAAAATGTTTTATAATTCTTCGCCGAAGATTACTGTTCGGCCCTTGCGAGTATGCGGCAAAGGAATTATGAGATTTTTAAAAATTCCTTGAGCGTTTCAAGCGGGGAGAAGGACATTGCCAAGTACGAACTCGAAGAGCCAAGTTGTAGGGATTGCAATAAATAATATGTTGTCTTATCTTCGAGAGAGGTTCGTATTGGGAGAATATTAAGATCTTCATCAACTGATGTTGAAAGCAATGAAGGCTGAGCAGCTGGACTGTGAGACACGGGCTGGTTGAAAACAATGTATTTTCTAGGCAGTCCACTTCAGTCAATAGTAGAATGATGAGCCACCTTCCGATGATGATACCAATGATATGTACCTCACTAAATTTATACAAATGGTGATATATATTTGTCCAAATTTAAAGGCCTTGAGGAGAAAAGAGGCCAATCCGGAAGGGGTATATTCTTTCGGTATTGTTAAATCAAAAAAAAATTTTGATTATTTATTAAAAGACAAGCAACTGCTTTTGAAAGAGGTGCATAGATATCCATGCAATGGGTTGACAGGGAAATTGTTTTGTAAATTGCATGGGGTTTTCGGCGGCACGATAAGGAATTGTATCGCATTCCGAAATGCGGTACAAAAGCGATTAAAGAGGGCCGATGACATCTTGCTGATCGGATAGAAATAAAGGTCAATACCAACCCTTTTCTAGACATTGCGAATGTAATTGGGATTCATCCTAATAAAGAGAGACACCCAAACGTTCCAACGACGAGGAAAATTCAGAAAACGCCAATGCCGCGCAAACCCGTCATAGAGCGTTTAGGGCAAGCTTTCTGTCCCCATGTTGAGCTCCTTTGTGGGATAGATTAGAGCCTTCAAACATTATAGACAAAGTGAGTTTTGAGAAGAATGGAGAACTTTGGAGGGTGTCATCGGTAGATCAAGTTGTCATCACTCCTCACCCAACTCGGAAACCTGAAAAGGCTCCAGGGGATGGAAGATGGGCAATTAACCAAGCTCTGATTAAGTATCACCAGCTTTCCTAATCTTAGAAAAAGCACTGACAATGTTGGCGTTAAGCAGCGAGGCTAGTGAGCGAACAAGACTTAGAATTAAATCCTGACAAGCTACCTACTTTGAGTGAAGTGCGGGCTGGGCATGCAGTGAAAACAGCCCCTGAGAAGGCCATTCTATCCCGTGACTTTTGGCATCGCCTAAATAATTGAAAAGAATAGAGATCATAGCAACAAAGCAGCACTATGTGGACTGTTTCACGTGAGATCAATTCGAAGCTTTTCGTTCATGTGGAAACAACCCCTACCAATCTTTGTTTTCTTTTAAATGACATAGTGAATAGAGGCCAACAATCAGACCGAAGCGACCATCTCCCAAATTGTGCCAAAAAAAGGTAAAAAGATAGCAACAATGCTCACATCTGATTTGAAGATGCCCGAGGGAATTTTGCCCGTCGAGTTTGTCGCCCCTTGTGGGCAGCCGCAGTCGTTGCAGGATGATATTATGATGGAAATGCACATATTAGAGGCGACTTAGTACTCTATAGATGTAATTTCCTTCTCGATGGTGCTCTAAGTGGTTAGCGCTTGAGGTGAATGCAACTTAACATTGAAAGGGTTCAAAAATTGTTCGAAGACC